CCCCCCCCCCCAACCCCCTCAGGTCCCACAGAGTCTTGACTCACGATACTTTGGAGCACCCCCGTTGAGGCGCCCAAAGGCTCCGATCAAATGACAAAAGTAGACGGCGGAGGTCGCAGCAGCACCGATCCGATCGAAATTTCGCGAAGCTAGACCGGAGAACGGCGGACTGATTTTTCTCAAAAGTCCTCCGGCTCGCCCTGTCGGCTGAGAAAAACATTTCCGGCAGGTGCCTTTCCAAAATTCTCGCTTACATCCACGGCGGGCATAATTTATTATCGCGATGAAATCTTTCACGCGCGGCTCGATTCTGGCGAATCGGTGATTTCACAGCGCTCAATGAGTCGCCGCAGTCGGCCGGTGATAATGCACGATCGGCGAGACGACGGCGCCCGACGTGCGACCTGACGAAAAGCATTCGACGACCGTCCTCCCGCCGCTCCGGCGGAGGAAGGGTCTCTCTAACGCTCGATTGAGATAGAGCAGGTCGTTGCGGGCGTCGAAGATCGGCCTGTGATGATCACGTATCGCGTCGAAAACGTGTCACGGTGCAGATGCGACTTCAAAGAAACATATATCACTTAGGCTTAGCCAGAGTTAGCGATTAAGTCCACCCTCCACTCCCCCCCCCCCCTTTNCCCCTTTTACGAGCAATAGGCGACCGAAGCACCGCAAGCATTTACGAAACCTCTCACGAGTTATTCTAGCCAAACAGATATTCGAACATCTATCTGATATATTACGCATATATACAATTTACATACGCAGGACGTTAGAAAAAGAGACGACTTGAACGACGGCCCGACGGAGGTGAGAAGGAATGCTCACCGAGCCGGAGCGGAAAACAAGAAATTGTTGTTCGCTTCGATAAAGTCCACGCAGCTGTGTCGATTGAGCATTTTTTTTTTTTCTAGTTGGCTTGGTATCTTTTACGAGCCTTTGGAAGTTGCAAACTACCTTCTTCTTCTAACGTCCCGCGTATGAGCCCGGGTATACATCGGGACATACATATACGGTCGTATCGCTCTTACGCCAACGACTTTTGTAGCTGTGATTTTCTGATCTCCAATGGTAATGGGATTCTCTTTGCGAGATCGTAGCGCACGTTTCGCAAAGCTAACAATGCCGTTTGATTATTTTGCAAACTTACAATCGGGAGTAACGATAACGTGCCGTTGTCGTACCAGCGACACGCTCTTATAAAGATATATATATATATGTATATATATATATATATATATATATGTATATAT